AAGCTTTGGGGATATTATAATTAAGGTTAAAGAACCATGAGTCTAGAGAGGATCCAAACGCCCCTTAAAGGATTTTGCCTTAAACATAGTCTTTAAAAGAACATAATCCCAAACTTTACATGCTGTTCTATGTGGTTTTAAAAATCTAAGAATCTTAAGAAAATATGAAATCTCTGCAACTTTCCTATGGACAGTAAATTAACAGGTATCATATTTCTGCCATGTCAGTCATCATATTTAACTCTGGATGCCCAAAGAATATTGGTTAACGTAATCCCAGCCCCAATATACAGACAGAGCTAGGACACTCTTAAGTTAAACTTACATTAACCATTGGTGATCCTGCAGTGTAAGCAACAGGGAAGTGGTGCCTCTCTGCGGGACACCCCGCTCTTTGTCCCTCAGCTGTGAAGTGCCAGGACAGCTGCTTCTCACCATCTCCTGTGTTTATCAGCACAGCACAAAGGCTGGCGTGAGGGCAGTCTGCGCTAGGTCCATGTCGTGAAGTGTCATGGGGGCAGCAGCTTTTCAGGGGCCTGTCCCCAGCCTTCACAGACAGACTTCACCTGCCACCTTGTTACTGGGAGGTAGAGAGGTGTACTTAGACATGTCAAGCTTTTACACAGACTAAGCTTAGTGTTTTAAATAATGTGTATAGCTTTGTGTCTTTCCAGTCTCTTCCTGAGTGTCGCCTTTGCCATGAAAAGCTTTTTATTTTGAGCTTCCCTGTAACATCCCCATTTTCTCCCTAAGTATGAGACTTGCCCATTAGAAGGCTCCAGAGCCTCTGGGCTGCATTTCCTGGAAGCTTGACTTTCTTTTAGGGAGCCTCCTCAACTCAGTATAAATTTGGCCCCCTGCCTGGCCAAAACTTCCATACCTGTTCTGTTTCCCTCATAAACTATTCCAGGTCTAAAATGGCAAATTGAGAGCGTTTGCCAAAGTGGATTTTCGTAGAGCTGCACCTCCTAACTCTCCTCCTCTGGCGGTCATGGAGGATGGCTCTGGCCAGTGTTGCGGGCAGAGGGCTGGGTTTTCATCGGCCAGGCCCCTGCTGACAGCGGCCACCAGGCTGGTTTGCATGTACTTCCCTAACTCCTCTTTATCCCCCATTCCGACCTAGAAGATACTGAAAAGTTACCAAATTAAGCCAGAGTTGCTGTCCCCATTGGATGTTTTCCTGAGCTCCTTCCAGTTTTGGCTGTGAAGATGAACTCCAAGGGAACTGTTGCCATTTTGGTGCTCCTAAATTAGACGTGGCTACCTATCCCAACACCTACAAGAATACTGTTTTCCCGGGGGTGACACCAGCTACAGAAGCCTTGGTGGATGCTGGCAGATGGTTGTGGCTCATGGTGGCTTTGTGTCCCTTAGATCCTTCCAGGGGTGGAGCAGAGATGGTGGCAGGCAGGCGTTTCTTGGCTCTCTGCTTAGGGATGGTACGGTGATACTCTGAAATCCACACCTGTTCTCTGGACTCCACATGAGCCTTCCCTGTCAGATTGGGTGAACTCCAGTTCATTTCCTTTTCTATCCTACATGTTCCATATTTAGTCCCCAGTTTGCCCCAGGGGTTGCAAGTTTGGCTTAAATTACCTTTGTGTTTAAAGAGTGAGGAAAGTAGTGCTTCACTTTAATTTTTGTTTGGCAGACTTGCCCCCAGACATCTCAGTTTTAGCTAAGAAAGCAGTGGGTAACGTTGTGGATTTGTGGATGTGAGAGTTTCATCCTGCTGGCTCTTTTTCCTTCCACGTCCTATTTGGCATTGGGGTCCTCTTCCTTTCCTCTCTGCCAAGAAGATAAAAAAACACTACTGAGAAATATAAATGTATCACGGTGGAGTTAAGCTGTGAGAGGACAGCAATGGGAACATTTATGTTTTATTCCCAGATTAAAGTTGATTGGGGTGGTTGTGTTACGTGTGGAGTTTTTTGGAGGCGTTGCCCTTTCTTAGAACATCATGTGATTTAGCGGTGATAATGAGGCAGAAACTTGTCTTCCCCATAGATGCCAAGATTATAGAGGGACCTGCTTCTCCAGAGCCCAGATGACAGCATCCATAGATATTTTTAGAATGAGCCTCATCATTTGGTTTCCCCATTTCATTTTCCTTGCATCAACAGCCTGATTTCAAACTTACTTATTGAGTTTAGACGGGGAAGGAGGAGATCTCCTTCGTATTAGTAAAAGTCACCAATGGCACAGGACATTTTCACATTTATTATTAGTTATCTTGTTGCCTAGTGACTGCAAAGTGATAGCCGTAATTCCCTTTAGCCCTATGCTTCCTTTTCCTTCCAAACATTTTCTTAATCTGATGCGTTTTTAAATTTCTTCGGAAGGGCATCAACATATACACATAAACCTCGCAGTTAACTAAAACATCTTTAAACAATGTAAGAATCATGGGAGCTTCACCAAAAGCCATAAAATTTGTACCCAACCTAAGTATCATTAAATCCCCAGCTGAGTAGCTGGTCTCCTCACTTCACGTGCTCCCTGTGTTCTCCCAGCCTTTGATGGAGTCAGATAAACACGTGCGAACGTTGAGCAACCAAAGAGCAGTTAAAAATCGAAGGCAGACGTGGAGCTGCTTTCCTTAGGACTATTTTTAATCCTAAGGTCTTCCTAGTGAATGGTGATGCTGGCGTTCCTCTTGGAAGGATGATTGTTTTTCTGTTCAACATTTATCTGGCTCCTTTATGTTTTCATAATATTTTACAATCTGTTTTCCTTCTATCACAGAGAAAACAAGTCGCCTTTCTGTTCTGTGGAGTGGGAGTTTCTGTATGAAATTTGTCTCCTGTGAGAGCTGCCTCTGAACCTGAGGCTGGGTCTCTCTGCTTAACCGCTAGGTACAAAACCCAGATCCTGAGCAGCCTGGGAGCCCCTGGGGGAGCTCCAGGACATAGCGTTACAGGGACCCACGCCTATTCTGCAGAAGGGGAAGGAGTGGTGATCAGTGTATCTCCTTTTTAATGATGAAGTCCCGGAAGGTTCCGGTCCTTTGATGAGGGCATGGGTATTTGGCCTGGGGATTGTTGTTGCTAGTTGCTCCAGACTGCCCAAGGAGGGCCTCCTGCCCCTGGTTCCGGGGCTGATGCCCTGTTCTGCTTAGAGTGATGCCATACTGGGGTATGGGTGCCCTCTGCCTCCTTCCATCCTATGCTGACCCAGCCCCTGCATTAGAGCAGGCTGTGCACCTGGCCTCTGTATTTTGGGAATGAAGTGTGTCACCTTTCCAGTACGCAGTGGTTTCCGTGGCTGAATAATTAACACCAGAGGGAACCGGGGGATGGGGTCTGAATTAGGTAATACTTTTACAGCTTTTCCCGTGGCGCCTGCGGTAAGTCAGGATCGGGACTTGGGGACCAAAGTCCCCTGATGACTAATTGCATAGTGATGTTAGATTGTGATTTATTAAGTGTTACTATGAAGGAAAAAACTGAATCTCCTTCCAGGGCACCCTGTGTGCACCCCTGTCTGTCATGCTCAGGGCTGCCAGGTGGAGTACTTAGAACAGCATCCTAGGCAGGCTAAACTCACAGATTCTGAGAGCTGCATCTATGTTAGCTTTTTCTGCCTCTGAAATCAACAGGCCATTATTTTCTAATCCAGGATAATGTCACATACCCTTACAAAGCAAAATACCTCAAAAAAGCCATCAGCCAGGGAAGCTAAAGACTGGGGATGAGTAGGAGGAAGGGGCCACCTTGTCCTGCTTTATTGTCTCTGCTTCGGATCGAACAACCTGAGTTCTTCTATTTGGAGCCACAACAAGGGGAACTGTGGCCATGGGTATGGAATGTTACCTATACCAAGCCCTGCCATCTTTCTGACTATTGGTAGTGAGAGGTAAGATTGCCAGCCAGTCCAGCCACAGAAGAAAGTGAAGTCACAATACACTTGTAAAGATTCCCAGTGAATTTAGGATAATACCCCCTCTAAAGCGGGGAGAAGCAGACGTCGTAACGTGTGTGTAACCTTATGGATGCGTTTTTCATTACTGTTCACCTTATCTGGTGAAAAGATCATGAGTTCTTGTTGCCTCACTACTACTTTTCTATCCACTTCTTGGCCTAGAGCCACTTTTTCCTACCATGCCAGCCGACACTGTCTCCATAAACAGAAGGCCTTATGACTTGAGGACTGCCAGGTCTCCTAACTCAGTGGTCCCACGAAGTCTGACTTGTGTAAATTCAGAAGCTCTGACAGCACCTCTTTTGTGCCTTACATTGAAGACTGTTGGAGGCAAAATAATAATAGTAAAGTTGTTCATTGTTAAAGGGATATTTTGTAGGAGCTCTTTCTGGCCATATGTGTATGGTATATAATTTTTTTTTCCTCTGCAGATTTTTAATACAAAAGGCCAATTCCTAAAACAGCCCACTCAGAGATTGCTTACTCCTTTTATAGTGACACAAGTCAAGATTACTACCACCCAGCAGCACGGACTGCTTAAGCCTTTGTGGAAAGTGGCCATGTCATCTCCCCTGGTATTGGGATGTTAGTGGAAGAGTGGTTAACAAGGTCAGTCCACATAGCCAGTGAGGGAGAACCGGAAAAGCACAGCTGGTCTGCTTAGCGTGACCAACTTCCCTGGTTTTAGCATGAAAGTTGCGTGTCCCAGGAAACTCTCAATCCACAAGTCTGAGCAAAACCCCACCTGCACCCTGGACATCAGTAACTTGAAAGGACCCACTACAGCACCCCTCATTTGTCTTTGTTAACCTCCCGAAGGGCATGGGCCCATTTCCTCTAGGCTTTTCAACTTGAGAGCATTTTGTAATCGGGCACAGAAAGAAGGTAAGTCATCTCCATGCTTTGTCCTTAGGTTTGAAGGCTCTTTGGAGCTGGTGGAGCGACACAGCTTTGCTCTGAGTCCCCTTGGCTCAGAGGTGGGTGAGGAGATGGGAGGCTGATGAAGCGTGATGCTGAGTGCCCACTCTTGCTGCTTAAATGCCCGTAATCGTCTCTGGTTTTCTGCTTTCCTCCTGTAGACCCTCAAACTGACACAAGACCTACAGAGAAAACCCTTTGCCAAATCTGCTCTCAGCAAGTGGACAGTGATACCGTTTACAGCTTAACACCTTTGTGAATCCTGCACCATGTTCCTAACCCAGCAGAGACTGTTCACGGCCCCTTACCCTGGGTGAAGCACTTACCCCTGGAACCGAACTCTCTCTCTCAAGTATGCAAAATCTTCCTTGTATGGGGTGATGAGCCACCTGCCAGCGAAGGACAGCACCCACCGCCACCCACACTCATCCAGAGCACACCGTGAGCCCCCATGGGCAATGCTGTGGTGTTTTAATATCTCGATGGTTTATGGGATGTTCTAAGTGTTGTTTTTGTGTTTGTTTTCCTTTGACTTTCTGAGTTTTTCACATGCATTAACTGGCAGTATTTTTATGTTAAAATGTTAATCACTCTTCCCCTGGCAAATTGAAAAACAGGAGGAAAATGTTGTACCAGTTACCATTCTGGCTGTGGGCGTCACAAGCATTTGAGCCCGTGGAACTTCATAAACTAACAAATTACATAAACTAGAGGGGGATTTTCTTTTCTTCTTTTGTTTGGTAGAAAACTATCCTTTTCTTGAAACCGAACAATGGCACAACTGTTTGCCATGAGCACCAGTCCAGAACTGAACCCTGCATGGGCAGACCGAACGAAGCTCGGCATCCGACCCAGTGAGTTTCAGGAATGAGTCAGGGTGGTTGGGGGCCGAGCCCCCCACACCTGATCTGCAGTTGCCAGATCAGTAGGGCCTGTGGTCTGCTGTCAGTATCCTCAGCTAATGCAGTGAACAGTGATGGTGTGTTGGTTAGAAATTAGGATCTTTTCAAAGAACAGATCAGCTCAGCTGTCTACTCATTGCCAAATGCCACTAAAGGATTTAGTTATAAGGAAAAAAGACAAGAAAAAAAAGTAGTCCTGTTTTGCTTTGCAGAAGAAATGAACTTAACAGGTGAGCATTAAGCCTGCAGTGAGAAATGTGTGAAAAGTACAAACCCGAGTCACTATTCTAAATACACACCCTTGATTATTTTCAGCTTTGCTGTGTATGATCTGATGTTCTAGATGTGTATGAGTGAGAGGCAATAGCATACAAACTGATTTTTTTTTATATATATAAGGTTAGATCGTAATTGTACAAGTGACACAATGGAAGTACAAGATAGGGAAGTTTTGACTTTTTCCCCCCACTTTCCTGCTTCCGTGGATTTCATTTTGTTCTGTTTTCAAGAAGTTATGGTGCTGTCTAGGTGCTTTCTGTTTAACCTGGGAAGTGTGATTATCTTAGTTACCCTCTTTGGTAGACAGACTAGTTGGGAACACCTTTGGTACATATGAAACTGGTGTAACGATGCTCTGATTAGCACAGCGTATACATACTTCTCCAAAGTGATATATGAAGACTTTTCTTTGCATAAAAAGCATTAGGCATATAAATGTATAAATATATTTTATCATGTACAGTACAAAAATGGAACATCCTGCATGGACGTTAGGAATACAGGCTAGTATCTCAGCACAGACCTCCCTGCATGAGTCCTCGCAGACACTTGCACTGTGCAGTGGGCACCGACTCCCTTCCACCAACACAGACGTGCCACCTGACCCCCTGCACCCACCACCGGCCACCAGGGGCCCCCTTGTGCACCTTTTCTTTATAATTCCTCTGGGGGTGATATTGGTGGTGATAACAGCTCCTAGCATCATGAAAGTTCCATTTGGTATTGTCACACGTCTCTCCCATCTCGCTTGGGTTGTCCTGTTTGGGCAATTGCCCTGTTGATTTCACCCTGCCTTTTCCGGAATCTGTAAATTGTCGTGCAGTTGTGCTTATGGTAGACCTGTAGCATACCACCTTTTCTAAACTGCTACAAGTTTATAATCTTCATTTTAAAAGTACGTATAATTTTTAAAAATATGTATTCTATTCATGTGGTCTGCTTGTCAGTGAGACAGACTTTTGCTTACTATGTTCCTTTATAACAATGCTAGCCACTTCCTCGATTCTTTGGGAGTCTGCTCTACGCAAGAACTGTCAGTGTCGGTGAAAGAGGGCTGCCTGTCTGGGTCCTAAATGCAGCTGCCCTGGGTGGGAGCAGTTCAGAGACAGCGACAGTAGTGGGGGGTAAGCGGGGCTAGCAGATACGAGGGAGAATCCGGAGTGCTTCCAACAGGAGTGCCTTGAGAATTTCTCTCCAGAGCTCGAAGAAACAAGCAAACTAAAAATGGCAATTTCCTTTGCAGTTTTATACACCCCGGGAGCTGCTTTGAGAGTAAGAAAGGCAACCCTCAAATGTGTTTCGACTTGAAAATGTTGAATTCCTTTCAGACATGTGGCATCTCATTTATTCTCTTTTTTCCCCCCAATGTTTGTTAGATTTCAGGCAGAATGTCTTACAAAATGTCCTAGAACCAGATTATGACTTAATCTAAAACAGCTGAGGGAGGACAGAGGCGGCATGAGAGCAGGGCAACCACAGAGCAGATCGGCAAAGTGGAGGGGGAGGGTGCTTTGAATTTTTTTTTTTTTTTTTAAACTCAAACAGCATCTACGTGTCGAGCATTGTGGAGAACTGAGATCAGAGCAAAGTCAAGCGCCAGCATCCGTCCCAGGAGGGGGTCAGGCAAGAATGGAATAGTTAGGCCTGTCCAGCATCATGGCAGCCCCAGTCACACCCTTGGTCACCTTCAGCTGGCCACCCACCCAGAGGCCAGGCTCCCTTAGACTAGCTGGGTTCCAAGGCGGTCAGACTGGGCAGAGGTGTGACCTCAGCCTTCTGTCTCTCATATTGAGACCCTGCTTTCAGAAAGGGCCAGCTGTTGGCGCCCATGTGGAGTTGAGTGTCATGGTCCCTCGCAGTAAGCTTCCTGATCTGGAGCATCCCAGTGGAATATTTAGGAGCCTCCGGGGGCTCGACAGCTGGAATTCTGCATCCTGAGAGCTATCTGAGGCTACCCTCAGCCTCTAAATAAGCTGCGCTAGGGAGCCTTCCACTTTTTCACGGGAAATTAGGAAAATAACCAATGTTGAAAACACGACATGCACTCTGGGGCCCTGTTGTTCTCTTCTGGGCTCCAGGACCGGATCCCTTTTACCGAAGTTAGAAAAGAGCTGTATCCCGAGCCTTCACTGTCCCTGTGTGAGGACTGACCTCCAGGTGCAGTGTGCCCCGTTAACTGGGCATGAATCTGAGGTCAGTTTCCTTTATCGTTTCTTCCACAATATGATGATTGCTAAAACACATGTTTTGAAAAATTTCAGAAGTCTGTCTTTCCTGTTAACGGGAGGATCATGCACACACGTAGTCCAAGGTTGACTGTGTGCGTGTGTTTGGTGTTGAGTTTTGGAATTACGTGTGTGTCACTCCCCCACCCTGAGGAGAGGACCTCATGGCCCACTGCTCAGGACAGGTATGCCCGATCTCAGGGTGACATTTCAGGTGGCTTCTGAACTTACGATAGGGACAGACTTCACCCCTCCCTGAAGAACCCCACTTAAAGAATAAGGAACACTTGAATCTCTTGGAAGGAGTAAAGCAGTCAGACAGCCAGTCCCATGTTTTTGCTGATGCCACGGGCTGGCGGGGGAAATAAAAATGTTACCCTTTCTCTCTAAAAGGAGAAACAAAACCCTGACAGCTCTGAACTCTGATTTCCCTTTTCCTGCTGTATTTGGGAACATTGTGTGATTAGGCATAATGTTTTTTTTAAAAAAATTAAGCAAATTTTTTTTTAGAAATACAGTCTCTGGCAAAGAGGTACAAGAAAGCCAGCCTCTCCTGGAGACTGGGGGAACAGGGCCTGAGGAGGGGAAAATGAAGTCCTTGTGAAATCATGTCTGTCAAGATCTGAAAGCAGATGCCCAAGGAACTGAAAAGAGTGGATTGTATCTGATCTAAATCTTTTGTGGGTAACATTTTATGCAGGTTGAATGAATGAACTATTTTCCTCTTGTTTAGTTTTATTTCTATGTATTTTTCTTTGGTGAATGATTGGTTCCGAGCCCTCTGCCACACTCCAGAAATACTTGTGCGGCTGCTTTAAAAAACTGTCTGTCTGGTCACTTACTTCTCTAAAATTACTTCATTGCCTGGCAATCAGTCTTCTCTCGTATACTTGTCCTAGCACATGATGTACACGGGAAATGTAAACAGATGTGAAAGAGGACCAGAAAAATTAGTTAATATTAAAAAGAAATGTATTGTGCATTTTGGCTTCACATGTTTAACTTTTTTTAAGAAAAAAAGTTGCATGAATGGGAAAAAAAAGTCTGTATACAGTATCTGTAATACAAACTGTCTTATCTGTTTCAGTTTCTTGCTCATGCCCCATACAAACTAGAATGAAATATGGTGCATGGCCATATTCAGACACCTAAAGTCAAGCAGCTGATACTTAGGTTTGAAGCACCTCATCCTTTCTTTCAAAGCGAACACTATCATATTGAGTTCTTACTGAGGATTTTGTCTAACCGTATGTTGCCATGGGTTAACTCTACCAGCTTTCTTCTCAAGAATCAAAACCAGTTTGATTTGGGACTCTTCCCCTTTCCAAATGAAATAGAGATACAGTACTTACTTCCCTTGATGTTTGTAGATAATTGCTTTGTGTATTCCATTTAAAACTGTAATCTAGTTTGTAAAAGAGATGGTGACGCATGTAAATAAAGCATCAATGACACTCTATCTTATTTCAAGAAGTCTTTTGTTCTCCCTTCCCCTTTCTTTAACCCCAGAAATGAAATAGCTGAGTTTATCTCCAGGTCTTCCCGTGGAATTGCTTCTCAGGCCAGGAGAGGCACAAAGCTGAGATACCCTATCGTGAGATTTCCAATCTAGATGAGGGAGCAAACTTTTTCTCTGGCCCACTTTTGACCTCCACAGACAACCAGACAGTTTAATAAAAGCAGATTTATGGTGGTGGTCATGGTGGCTGATAGCCACTTTTGGCGTGCGCTGAGTCATGTCGCCCTGGGGCAGCTTCTAAGTGGGGAGGCGGGATGTGGACTCTCCGCCTTCACTGAGTGTCAGAGAATTTGTCTGGCAAAGTTTTGGCCCTAATGAGGTCCTCCTTCTCTGAGTCCAGCAGATGAACATTGGTCATCGACAGTGCCCTCCTGCGTATCGAAAGTCAAGCTCACTACTTCAGTCTTCTGGTGACATAAATATTCTGCATAGACATTTGACTCTCAGTCAAGTTAGGGGGGAATTCACCCTATTGTAAAACTATTGCGAGTAGCTTGGGTTGTGTTTTCCATTTTAATAGATGTGTTATAAAAATTATTCAACTTAGAGATTTCCCTAGGATTTGGTTCAGTGTCCCAAGCGACATGATGAACTCTTTCTTCAGATCAAGCAGGTGAAAAAAAGATCTTGAAGTTTGCCCTTTGGGATACATTCTACACACTGGTGGAGAGTCATACTTTTATAAGTTTGTCCTTACCATTGTTTTAATTACCTATAAAAATAAAACCTCAACATCTTCTAATACCAAAGGAAACTGGAGGAAGGTATTTCATTTGAGCTTGCTGCCCAATTTTGATTCTGTCTCCCAAAAGATTAAAGATGGAAGCCCAGTAGCAGCTATCACAAGATTCTCAGTGGAGTTCTCCCCAACCAGGTAAAAATTCAACCAAAAACTAGTTAAAGTAAGCTTAACGATCAATAGTTACTAAGTCAATCCCAACTGGCAGTGGGCCAGACCCTGTGACGGGCAGCAAGAGAACGAGGACTGTGTCCCGCCCTCCGTAAGTTCGTTCTCCACGTATAGTCTATCTGCTCCACCTTGGTGAATAAAGACCTAATTCTTGCTGACTTCCTGCTTCAGTTTCTTATTTAAAAGAGGAAGAATTTGGACTAGTTCATCTCTAAGACTCTTTAGAGATTTGATTTTGCAATTGTTCAAGTAATCAGGACAAGCCTTTAAGGAAGCAAATGTGACAGGTACCAACCAAGTCGTCCACACAACACTGGAATACAGGGGTCAAGGAGAGAGGAAGGTAGAGTTCATAGCCACTATCTGCCAGACCCTCCACCCACCTCAGCCACTCCCCTGGGACATGGAAAAGTCGAGAGACAGCAGTAGGGGAGGTCTGTGGTGCCGTGGGTGCTCTCAGCTCAGCCTGTGGTGCGAACTGGCAGGGTATTTGAAGTGTGGAGATCAAGAGAGGAGCATTCAGAAGGGGACCCCTACGCCCAGCTCTTGCTTCCATCTCCATCAAAGAGAAGAGACAGTGCTGAGTTCTGAAGACTAGACACATTTGGAGCTGGAGGAAGATGGATGCTTCCACCTGGATTTTCCTCATTGGAGCATTAGAAGACGACTATCAGCAATATTTAGACCTGAAGAAAATTAGATTGTGTGTGTGTGTAGTTCTGCCTAGTGGCTATCACATAGTGATGGTTCAAAACTGTTTGTTTCTGCCTGCCTTCTCTGAGAACTTGCTGGAAACACTACGGTCATCCCCACTTTTCTTCCCACTTGGGGAAGAAAAATCTCAACTCCCTTGTATTGGCGCAGGAACTCCTCTCGATCCATCCATCCCACCAGCACCTACTGCATTCCAGGCGCTGTGTTTGTCCTGCAGACATGGGCCTAAAGGGGCTGAACTGAAATATGTAGGCCTGCTGGTGTGAGTTCCTGAGGGGATGAATGCCACGAGTGCTACTAAGGGTTTGATGACGGGACAGAGAAGGTGAACGTTTGAGCAGAAAAGCAGAAATGAGTTGGGCTCTCCAGCTGAAGCGATGAGTCTCAGGGACAAAGGCAAGAGATAGGAAAGACTGGATCGTACTCAGGAAACAATGAGTCGCGGGTCTGGGGCTTAAAGAGCTCAAAGAACACAGGTGAGAAGTCAGGCAAGAAAAGTAGGCTGCCAGAAAATTCTGGACCAAGTCACTTGGCTTCTGCTAGTGGAATGGGAAGCCAGCAGCAGGTCAGGGACCTGATCACCATGGGCCTTCAGGAAGGGCCCTCGGGCACACCGTGGAGGTAGGTCCTAGAAGGAGGATGTTGAGGAAATGAGAAATTACGGTTATTCTAGGACTATTTTCACAACATGCTACCCACAGAAAATGATGCTTACATGGTCCTCTGGGATGACAGAGAAGGCTGCTCCAGGTCTCAGGCTTCGCACAGCTACGGGCCCTACACGCTGCCCCCAAGGGCTGAGGGATCCATAGCTCGGCAGCTCTGTAACTTTCCAACCGAGCTGAGAAGCCCTGATCTAGAAGAAATCACTAGAAACTTGGTATAGGTTAAGTCTGGGGGATGGAGACAAGGGACTTAGACTTTCAACTCCTCACCTTGTGCACTATTTTAATTTGTGTGAGTGCATTACTTTTATAAAGATAAATGTCGTTTCTAAAGAGCCTAGGTGGAGAAGCTACCTTTGACGTCTCTTCTGAGACTGGAGAGAATAAGGAGAAGGGTACTGGAGGACAGCACCGGAGATAATGGCATAACTGGACTGTTTAAAAGGAATCTGATAAATGAATACAGTAGTATTGTTGCAAAGTTGTGTCTTCATAACTTCGGGTTTCCATAATTCCCTCCTATTAACATCTTGAGTATCATAGTATAGGAAATACCTAATCAGAACAAAGCAATATTATGCATCTATTAAAACAATACTTATGAAAACTATTTATATACATAGCAGATTCTCATAACAGATATCTTAGAAATGTAATTATCCATTGCTCTTATAACCTTCTATATTGATGTAAGAAAAATAAAAAGCAGAACAGAAATAGTACATGCCAGCGTAAGTTATGCCTGGGGAGAGGTACTAAAAGGTGAAATGCAAAAATTGAAATAATTCTTGTGTCCTGGACACATTTTTGGCCTCAACACTGGACCTCAACTGTTGTCACCATGAATAAGCTTTAAATGATCCTCAGTCACTCCCTCCAAATTCAAAATCAAGAGTACCTGAGCCACCTACTGCTCGAGCCCCTGCTGGCAGGGGGCACTGGGAACCCTGGCCCGCTCCAGTGGGGGAGGGGGCTCTCCTTCCCACCAAGATGCACCCATTAGGTAACTCCCCCAAGTAGAGAGAGGGTTCTCATGCTGGGACCTGTCCCCAGAAGACAAATGTCCATTGCATTCTGGCAGTTGAGTTATGGAATTTCTTTGTCAAAATGATCTTCATTTTGTTGCAATGTATTTTTAAATATTTTGAAAGGTAATGCATTCACATGATTCAAAAGCCAGAAAGCATATAGATATACACAGGGAATGTTTTCTTCCCATCCCTGTCTGGTTCCCTGTCAGTTCCTCCCACCCCAAAGTTTCTTGTGTATCCTTCCAGAATTTCTTATGCACCTATGAGCAATAAAAGCACAGATTCTTATTTTCCTCTTTTTATTACACAAAAAGTACATTATACACATTGTTTGGCATCTTGCTTTGTTAATGGTTTTCTCACACATGGAGGAAATGTCAGTATATAGAAAGCTGCCTCATATTTACAGCTGCATAGTATTCCATTGTATTCTCATATTCATTTAATCAGTAGTCCCTTATCCACAGACACTGGACATTGAATTGTTTCTTAACATTTGTTATTAGCAGCAAAACTGCAGTGAGTAACCTTATACATATATTACATACGTGTGCAAGAATCTTTGTAGGATTAATGCCCAAACGTGGCATCACTGAATCAAAGCGTTTATATACATTTGCAATTTTGATAGAGATTGCCCAAACTGCCCTCCCATGGACCAATTCACAACAGCAGCAATATATGAGAATCCCTGTTCTCCCATAGCCTCATATTTTTAATGTTGTAAGAATTAAAATTGCAAGTCTGGTTTTCCCTGTCCCCTTCTAAGCTCCTTTGTTTTAAGTCTGTATGTAAGTCAGTGAGGGGCTGGTGAGAGTGAGGGGTGGGGGATGGGAGAGAAGAATAGGAGGTAGACTCAGGGTGGCCTGGTGGCTGCTGGGGAGTGAGAAGGAGCTCTTGGCGCTCAAAGCTGAACACCCATCCTTGTGCTAGCACACTAAAGAGTCATGCTGCCAACCTGCCCATCCAGTCTGGCCACGGGCTCCTCCCCTCACGCCACCAGCTTGGACCGCCCAACCTAAGGGTCAGCAGCCTGACCACACAGCTGCGCTCCTTCACCTCCCAGAATTCCAGAGGGGAGCTGTCACCCAAAGGAAACAAGTCTGGTCTCTTTGGCACCAAACCACACACCTCGACCTATTCATAGCAAGATTGCACAACCAGCTGGCGAGCAGCCTAGCTGGGCATGGGGAGAGTGGAGCTGCTCCTGAGCCAGGCCCTGACCCACCAGTGCCCCTGGGCAAGCCTTCCAGCTTTCAGAGCAGGGCTGCCCTGTGGCTCCGCCTCGCAAGTGGGGGAACATGTTCCTCCAAAGGAGAAGCTCTAACACCTCCTGCAGGCTGATGCCCCATGAGCCCGCCTGCCCTACTCTGCAGGCTGGCATCTAGGGTAAGAGGGGGCCTTTCTTTAGTGAACGCAGAAACCAGGAGGCAAGCTTTTACAGAAGAGGAAACTGAGTCTCTTTACAAATAAGGCCTTTACGTCTCTGTGGGGAGCCAGAGTCCCGGAGCAGGGCAAGGAAACTCAACTTTGGGCTGACAGACCTTGATCTGAACCCAGCCCTGCCGTTCACCGGCTGAATGATGACAGGAGAGTCAGTTAACATCTCTGGGCTTCTGT